CATTAACTCTCAATGAAGGCATTTACACAAAAGGCAAAGCAATAATTGTGTAAGATTCCACCCATAAACCCAGAGTGTACTCTCCCCCAAATACACACAAGGAAAGCAGGCACAAATTTGAAAGACCGTGGAAATGAAGTAGACTTGAAGGGTCACACCTCTAGAGCTTTGGGCTTCTCAAACCTTTCTCTTTAGTGGTCCTATTCTTATAATATTCGCTGATGGGCGTGGCTTCTGTATTGGAAGGATGGCTGTGCTGTTTGCTAGACTGTTTTATTCATCTCCTGGTCTGGGCCTCCTTCCTGCCAGGTGAATTCTAAGACTTTTTTCATAAAGGACACTTTAGGGGATGGGGGTGGAGGTGGCAGGGTATGGCACAGAAGCTTCACCCAGTTCTGCTCCCTTAGCTGGCCTCTAAGGGTTTTCACTTCCCAGGCAGCTGGTGACAATATAAATAGGTACAGCCTCTCTTTTGCCACTAGCTCTGAGGTTTTTCTTGGGCAACCTTCCTGTTTAAAGCTTGGGGCCCCTTAATGAGAGATCATTCTTATCTTACAGTGATCAACCAGCTCATTTACCAGATCCTTATCTCAGTAGGCTAGACTGTAACCACACAACAGACATTTGCCTAGTAATCACACAACTGTTGTGGACTTCAGGGTTCCCTCATTTTTTAACTCTAAAGGTTTCCTATTGGTCCTGTGCAAATGAGCATCTGGGAAACAAGTTACTAAGGCAGTCTTTGCTCTAGTTCAGTTGCCCTCTTTATTAGTGTTGTTTTGTATGCAAGTCTCACATTTGTCTATAACCCTTCAGTCAGCATAATCTGAAAGGGGCATGCCTGTTTGTGTATATTGAGGGTCCCAACTAAGAGGAAGGGGTTAGGCTAGAGAGAAAGACATGGGCTAGAGAGAAAGACATGAGCTTGAGAGAAAAAGAGAAATGATCTAGGGGTTGGTAAACTGCTAGCAGGGTCTGAAATGGATCCTAAATCTAGGTGAGGTAAAGTGGAAAGGGTCTAGAAGTGACTGTAAAGAGCAAGGAATAGGCTTGATCATTGTCCTAAGCCTGTGTGTGGGTGGTTAAGGAAATGGGGTGCAGGGGAGATGAGAGAAGATCTAAGGCTAGAGTTGGTGGCCAGAGAGTCAGTGTTGTTGGAGAGGTTTTTTGGGGGGGTGGGGGGGGACAAGTGAGGTAAGAGAAGTGTTAGAGGAAAAGTCTATTAAGTAGGGCAATTTGCTCACAACAGAATGAGGTCAAGAGGACATAGTGAGAGAGAAGAGCAGAGCCCTATAGGAATACAGAAGGTGTTGGGCTGTGGTAGATGGGGGTGATACAGCAGGCTGATGGTGGTAGAGGAAGGGAAATTTTGGTCAAGGTGGCCTTCTACTTGGGATAACAAATTCTCTGAATTATCAGGAATTTGGAGAAAAGGTCTGCTGGCCACTGGACAATAGTCTTTATACTCTCATTCACCGAGCAACTGTGGGTCTGCTCCAGTCCCAAGTTCAGATGTCGATTAGATTCATTCACAATTGCAGTCCAGCAGTAACTGATTTTCTAGTTCCCGTGTTGATTAGAAATTGTACTTGGAACTTAAATCAGTCAACTGCATTTATTAAATGCCAGTTTGTGTGCCACTTACTGTGCTAGATGATAGGGATACAAAGGCAAAAATCAAACAATCCTTGACCTCAAGGAACTTGCACTTTATTAAGAAACAACATGTACATAAATTAGTATGTTTAAAACAAACGGGGCAGTGGGGGTGGAGATCAGGAATGTTTGATGTAGAAGGTACCGCTTGAAAACAGTTTTGAAGGAAAAAGTGATTCTAAGTAGAAGTGAGGTGGGAAGACAGTCTTGTCTGGGTGAGGGGGGTAGCCAGTGCCAAAACACAAAGATGGGTGTGTCATGTGTGAGGAACTGTAAGAAGACCAGTTTGGGTAGATTGTGGTGGTAGGAAAGGGAGTAATGCCTAATAAAATTGCAGAGTTAGGTTGGGGCCAGGTTATGAAGGCCTTTAAAAGCTCGTTGGAAGAGACCTATATTTGATCCTAGAAGCAATAGTAGTATATTGAGTAGGGGAGTGACGTGGTCAGACTTAGAGAAAATAGCATTGGTATTTTTGGTAGTTATGAAATGGTATAATTTAGAATACCAGTTTGTCATAGAAATAGGTTGCCATAGAAATTATGGAAAGAACAAGAAATAGTTTTTATTTGAAATCACAAAATACTTTATTTTATAAAGTACAACAGATATTCTAGACTTGTGTTAATCATTTTCCTGTGTTTGCTTAGATTCATTTGTGCATATCTAAGCTTTATTTTCTTGGGAATTTTATTCATGCTGAAAGAACAGTTTGAGGTTAAAATTATATTAATTTACATGCAAACACTATATTTTTACAGTGTACTAGAATTTGGTGTCAAGCAATTCTGCTTTGGACTCCATCAAAAGTAAACTTAGTCATTGAAAGGGATCATAGGAGCAATAGATTTAGGCATGGAAGGAGCCTTAGGCATCCATCTCATCAATGCTAACTTACATATTCAGGGACACTCAGGTAAGAGTAAGTTACAGAGGCAAAATCTCAGTCCTCTGCCTCCCAATCTAGCACTATTTCTACCACATGATCATGCCTTTCCTAGAGAACCTCTTGGTTAGGGAATCTTGCTTGCCTCCAGTGTAGAGGTCCAGTAATTTTATTTCCTGGCCTTCCTGGTGACTGACATTTTTTAGTCTGTGTTCACTTGGTGGTATGTAGCTCACCACACATTAAAAATTAAGTATTTTATAATTTTATTTTCTCACTTCAGCGAAGCAGTTTAAACTATCAACTCTGATTTATTTCTGGGTTGTGTGCAGTGTTTGGTACGATCTGCTTCATAGACTTATTTATTCACAAAACATACCTTTGTAGAATAAGATGAACTATTGGATTCTGTGAGAATCGTACTTCAAAAGCCCTGGGCGTAAAAGTTCCAAGATTACAGGAGCAATGACTAGCCGCCCTGTCCATGCATCATGTCTTCTTGTGCTTCTATCAAAGTCTTTTGGGGTTGTATTTTTCCCCCATATTTTTTTCCCCAATCAGCTTCATATTTTTTCTCTGGTTATCTTTAAATTCTTTTGACAGCAAGAGATGTACCTATTTGGAGAGGAAATCAAAAGTGTAATCAGTGGCTTTGTAGTTATCTTCTGTAAAGTCATCAGTCCAGGAAGCAAAGTGGTGTGAATGGGAGCAGGGGATTTGTCTAAAGCAGGGGTCCCTGTCCCTCCTGTTTTGTATGGCCTCTGAGCTTAGAATGATTTTTACTTTTTAAAATACACTTCTTAAAATATACTTTATTTTAAAATATAAAACCATTCTTAGCTCACTAGTACAAGAACAGGCAAAATGTAACAGTACTATAACCTGTCAGTAAGGCCTTCATAGTTCATACAGTGGTTACGTGCTCATTTAAAAGTATAGGTTAAAATATACCACCTGTTTTAAATCCTTTTTTGTTGAAAGTGCTTAGAGACTTCTAGGATTTGAATATGTCACATTATTTGCTAAGTGGCATTTAAAAATTCAGAGGTAGATGCTTTTTCAAGAAGAGTTTAGCACAGTAAAATTCCTATTTTATGTTTTAACTGTAAAGGTTCGTTTACTGGCCCTTCATATGGAGGTTATTGATTTAGTCACACATTATTTGGTTAACCTAATAAATGACTTGATAGCAAAAGGGTTCAGAACATCTAACATTTAATTGGAAGAACAGTTGTGTTAGTTTTACATAAACATCTTTGCAAGTTACTTTTGCCCAAATCAGACCACTTGACCTTTATTAAATGTGTAAATTCTCCCCCAAAAAATGGTGGAATCTGGTTATATTCTGGCACGCTTTGTGGTGATTACAAAACTACATTCTCAAGAAGTTCCTTCGTGTTCATATGCTAGGCGTTACTTGGAATATTGCCAACTTAAGTAATTTTTCCCTTAACAACGTTTTATTTAGCTGTTTATAGTATCTTTCTTATGTGTAAACTTAGGGCTTTGTTAGTCTTATGATCCTCTATGCCAGGCCTGCACAGCATAGGGGCTGCCAAAGGAGTTTGGGTGGGCCATATGATGTGCAGGCCTGCTCTAGACCAATCTTGAATTTTGAAGGTCTCAAGACTGATGCCAAATGTTAGCTGCCATAAAGGTGATTGAGTGGAAGAGAATCTGAATGGAGACTCTTAACTGCTTCTCTCACATATAGAGCTGACACAAGGCATTTGTGTACCTTAGGCAAGCTTTGAGTTTGAAGAATTTTATACTATGTATATATTGCTCTCCTCCTGGGACCTTGTACCTTTTACAACAAAGGCTCAGCTTGACTTATCACAAGATAAATAGCTACGGACCATGGAGAGCAGACTTTCTGAAATGTTTAAAAAAAAAAAAGTATACCTCATTGTGCCCCCCACTTCTAGCCCCTGAGTTTTGTAGCCTTGAAAATTGCATGACTTGTCCATCCTTAGTCCTGGTTCTCTTCTCTTGGAAGATGTGTTTCCTGTGAAACACATTCTGTTGAGAAATATTAGTATGAACTTTGAGCATTTCTAATTGTTGCACTTATTCATTCAAGATTAAGACTGCCCACTTTGCCAAAGAAAGAGATCCAGAGCATCCAGGTGTGGAAGCCCCTGGCTATACCCTGAGATCTGTTTATACTCATTTAGAGAAGTTCTCTTGAAGCAATTATGCCATGAATTTCATTATTGGAGATAGAACAGTGGATTTTGAAATAGCTAAAAAAAAGTTTTCTATAAGTATTTCTAGAATTTTGGGGGATAAATTGTGAACCAGGATATCAAAATAGGATATGTATGTTATTTTTTGAGATGAGTAGATTTTTGTGCTATCTTTATAATTAAACCATTTAATTAGCAATGAGATAAGCATTTTAAGTAAATTCCCTTAACCTGTATTTATAACATTTACAATGTTATTTTCTCCCCTGCAGTGCTGCTTTTGACAAAAAAACAGGATTACGTGTAGCAGTGAAGAAGTTATCCAGACCATTTCAGTCCATCATCCATGCAAAAAGGACTTACAGGGAATTGCGATTACTTAAGCATATGAAACATGAAAATGTAAGTCATCAGTGTGGGGAAGGGAAAACTGTTTTTGAACAGGCTGGATTTTTTTATTCTTAACCATTTGAAATATCTGTGATGGTATAAGAATGAACCAGACAAGCTATTGATAATATCTTAGGCTTGACCCTTACTTATATTACAGTAATTACTGTAATTAAATTGTCTGAAGTCTGTCTAGAGTAAGATGTTTCTTATTGTAATGTATACTTTGTCGTATTATGCCAGTACTGGAGTTTAGCTCTTATTCTCTTCCTTTTTTTGTTTAGACAGACTGCTGAAGCCCAAAATGAGATGAAATTGAAGTGTGTGTGTGTTTTGAGAGTACTAAGCCTTTGCTTTCCTCTTCACAAGCCGAATATTGATGTTCATTTTTAACTTGTAGCAATGATCCTGAACATCAGTGAAATAACTTAGCCACAGCCTCACAGATTTTGGGTTGGAAAGCACTTCACTGGTCATCTAGTCCAAAACATACCTAAGTAGAAATTCCTAACATAGAATACCAGTGAAATAATCACATAGGTTGGCGTCGTGGTACACTGGAAAGAGCACTGACTTTGAAGTCCTGAAGACCTGAGTTCAAATCTTATGCTAATTATCTATTGTGACCTTGGGTAGGTCACTTAACCTGACTGGGCCTCTGAGATCCCTTTTAACTCTAAATTTGTGATCCTCTGTTCTCCGAAAAAAGAGAGGCCACCACCTCTTGAAGTAACATCCACTTCCATTTTTGGATAGTTCTTATTGTTAAGAAATTTTTCTGACATCAAACCTAAATTCACCTCTTTGAAGCTCCCAGCTTTTGCTCTTGATTTTGTCCCCTGATGAGATTATGTGCTGTAAACTGGCGATTTTATTCAGTAGTGCTAATCGGCCCTAAAGTAGGAGAGAAGGACCATGGATGAGGGTTAGAAACTGGTGAGGTGGAATTAAAGACTGGGAACAGAGGTCGGTGGGACAAAGCATTCTAGGAGCATCGTTTGGGAAATATTAAAATGGCAGGCTGTAGGGCAGAGTCTGGGTTTGGAGGCAAGTGAAACCAGAGTGAAGGAGATGGAGTAAAAGAAATGGATGGGTCAAGCACCAGAGGTCTTAATAAGGGTATAGGGTAAATTTAGTATGAGTGGGATGAGCATATCCATAGGAGGTTAGAAAATGGAATTTAAAAGTTGAAGATCTCTCAGATCCTTTCCCTTCTGTCTTCTCATGGCTATCATCCTAGTTAAGGCCCTCATCACACCTCACCTGGACATTTACCATTCTAATTGGGCTTTCTGACTCCAGGCTCTCCTCTTCCCAGTGCATCTTCCACAGTTTCCAAATTGATTGATATTCTTAAAGCACAAGTCCAACCATGTTGCTGCTTCCTTGCTCAAGAAGCTCCATCCACTTCTCTATTCATTGCCTGTAGGATAAAAGCAAAACTCCTCATTTTGATATTTAAAGTACCTAATAATCTGTCTTTAGTTTACCTTCCAGGCTTAGTGCACATTCTTTTATCAAGTGTTCTACATTCCAGCCAAACTAATTGTTTGTTCTCTGAACACAACATTCTGCCTCCATTCTCCTTGCCTTAGCCAGTGTCCTTCATGTCTAGAATGTACTCCCTCTTTACCTCTGCCTCCTCTTAGAATCTCTGGCTTCCTTCAAAGCTCAGCCTAAGTGTAACTTTCTGTAGGCCTTTCCTAGACCCTCTAGTTGTTAGGGCCTCACCCACTGTATTGTTATACAAAGTGTATCTCTGGCTCCACTCCCAACCCCAGTAGACTGTAAGCTTCTAGAGGGCTGGAACTGTTTTTGGCTTTGCCTTGTATCTTCAGCCACTTGGACATAATAGGTTCTTTATAAAAATTGGAATGGATGGATGAATGGACTGTGAGAGGTGTTGAGGTCTAAGGTGTGTCCATAAGAGCATGTACAAAAGTATGCTTGGGGATTATCAACCTGCGTGTTAGGCCCCAAGGATGATAGAAGATAAGATATTAAAGAAAACCATGATCCAGTCACTAATCATTGAGAAATTTGGTAGAATGACTTGTTGGACAGTTGATGACAGTAACAAGGAATTCAGAAGAAGCAGTGTGTTCTATAGTGGAAAAAGCAATGTACTTTGGAGTCTGGAAACCAAAGATGACCATTTCACCTCTGTGAGCATGTCTCCTTATCTCTAAATTGGAGACAGTATTTTAATTTCCCATTTCTCAGAAGAATTAGAAGGAAAATTCCATAAATCCTAAAAATATTGAATAAATATTAGTTACTAAGGGGGGAGGAGGGTATAATTGAGCAGCATGAGTTTCAAAAGAGAGTCAGCTGTTACGAGAGTTGGAGAAGCAAGAAGTGTACTAAGCCTGTTCCTGCCCTGTGAATTGTGGGAATTGGGAGGAGGGTTCCCATGGTGAAAGATAGTTATAAGGGTTGTAGTATCAAGAGGAAAGAAGCCAGGTTTCAGCTAGAGACAGGAAGGTGGAAGGAATATTGATTGAAAAATTTGAAGATATGGAAGAGTTTTTTAAGACTAGAGTGGGATGTCCAGAGGACATTTTAGAATGGGGATAGGATTAAACTAGGTAGGAATAGGATTAAACAGAATAAGAATAGCTTATATTTATATACCACTTTAAGTTTTGCATGCAAAGCATTTTGCATGTGTAATGGGTTTCCGGGGTAGCCTCCGGCACTGTAATATCTTCACCTTTCACATAGCACTTTTTTTTTGGCGAGGCAAAGGGGTTAAGTGACTTGCCCAGGGTCACACAGCTAGTAAGTGTCAAGTGTCTGAAGACAGATTTGAACTCAAGTCCTCCTGACTTCAGGGCAGGTATTCTATCCACTGTGCCATCTAGCTGCCACACACATGGCACTTTTGGACACCTAACTAATTCAGTCTCTGGGCTGACTTGTTTACTCCAACTTGCTCTCACACTGGCTATTCTAGGTTCCCAGAGAAGGACCACAACTGCGTAATTAGACTCAAGAGTTTTTCAGGATCGTTACTGTTTCAGGTCTTGAGTCCCCACTTAGGTTCTTCTGTTTATACAAAACAAGTACATTACAGGTGCTTACAAATTAGGCAAATGAAGGAATAATATATTACAATCCACACCTAAACCTGAATCACATTCTCAAACCAATGCATTCAGTACCTGTGGGCAGAGTGGGCACTCACAGAAACTTGCCAGGGAGAACGTGAGTGAGGAATACCCATGTGGGGGTGACTCACAACTCTAGAACTGTAAATTTCGGTGTCTTCCTTCTAGGTCAGGAACTGTCCGTAAAAATTCCTTGATGATTGTAGCTTTTTTATTCAGCAGACACTTCCCTGTTAAACTGAGTGATCAGCGTGCTTGACTTACACTTCACTGGACAGAATTCCCCAGCCATATTGTTCAGTCTTCTGATTGACTTCTATGATTCTCTGCTTCCAAGCTCTTTCTCTACTCAGCTGGCCTTATGCTTCCACAGCTGTTAGCTTCAAACTTGGCAGATGGAGTTTCAAAATTTGTCCTTTCACCTCCCCTCCACCCCCCTCTCTTTTTCCTCTTCATTTTTTGGGTTCAGACTCTGATTCCTCTCTGAACAACCCCTACCTTAACTTATGTTTAGTCACCAAATTCTGTTCTTCCATCTATACTCGGTTAAATTATCTTTGCTTCATAATCCGTAGCAGTTCTGATGTCTGAATCTCTCCCAGTATAAAACAGCTTGTCACACTTAAAAATTACCAATAACTGTCTCAGGACTGAGTTAGAGTAACTGTTTCTTTCAGAACTCAAACTATTCCATATGAAAAAGCTTTACCTTTTAAAGGGACAATGCCATATACGTATAGTATCTCATTTGAAGGTCACAACAGCTGTTATTATGTGCATGTTTTAAAATTTGGTAACATAACTCACTGCATCAAGTCACGGGAAGTAAACCCAAATTGTAGATAGCTCTTCTTATCTTTGCATTTGAAAAACTTAAGAATTCTCATTGATTGAATAACAAACCACAGTGATGAAATGCCCTAACCACCACCTGTTAGAAAAGTGATAGGCTCAAGATATAGAATGTAGTATACATTTGTGTTTGTGGCCAATGTGTGAATTTGTTTTTCTCAACTATGCATATTTGTTGTGAGGCTTTCTTTTTCTTTTCTTTTTTTTTTTTTAATTGGGAAGGAGGTGAGAGGGAAAAGAGGTATAGGAATAGGATCTTCCACCTCAAAAAAAAAAGATCAGAAGGCTAAAAGGAATCACAAAACTTATTTGCCACAGAATTTTCCCAATGTCACTTGCACAGCTACTGCTGAGAGTGCTAGAGTGGCTGGCTAAGTTATCACTATCCTGAGGGACTTACCACCTCAGAGGGAAGTGATGGGAGCTTTCACAGCTGAAGGAAGAGGTGAAGTGTTACTGTTAGAGACCCACCCCCCATGATTGGATGAAGGTGGAATATGATACATTATTTTACCTCCTGGTTGTTACGCATTCATTGGAATAATGTCACTATCCCCATATTGGAGATGACTATTTTAAAGGATATGAACTAACAATTTTCAGAGGAGAAAATACAGATTTTTAATAACCATGTGAAAAGATTCACAAACTCTTTAGTAATCAGAAAAATACAGATCAAAGCAACTGTAAGATACTACTACAAATCCACTAGAATGGCAAAAATAACAAACAGCAAAAATATGAAATGCAGTTTTGGCTGTGCTATAGAATCACAGATATCATAATAAATACGTTATTGGGAATTGAAACCAGTAAAAACATTTCTCAGGGCATTATGACAATTTTCAGTGAGGATCCCAAACGAATTCCATTTGCTAAGAAGTTATCCTAAAAATTGTTAAATTTAAAAAGGACCGATCTGTACAAAAATATTTATAGCCATTTTATTTCTTATTGGAAAAGCTAGAAATATCCTTGATGCCTTTAAGTTAGAGGCTGAAAATAGTTGAATAAAATTATGAAATATTGATGGAATAGAATATTATGATA